CCATAGCTCCCACCCTTCAGAGCACCTGCCCTCCAAAGCACCCGCTCTCCATAGCTCCCACCCTCCAAAGCACCCGCCCTTCATAGCACCCACCTTCATAGCACCCAGGCTGACAGAGGCAAGATGGCACATTGGAAGAATGGCCAGAGGCCAAGGGGTGAATGAAGGGGGCACACCTCTGGAGAAGACTCACAGCCAGGCTAGGGGAACAGTCCAATCTGCCCTGTGCTCTGAATAGGTTCTTATCACGTTGACACTCATCTGCAGAAAGAGAGTTTGTCTATTTGTCAATATCATGGTGAACAAGAGAAATTGGGTCTCAGCGGATCCGGGTTGGAATCCTGGCTCTTCACCTAATTAACCAGACTTCACACAAGTTATTTTATCTCTACAAGTCTTTGCATTCCCATCTGTGGAATGGGTGTGGTAGAGGGCTGATGTGTGTGTGTGAAGGGGAGATTTGCATTAGGAACTCTAGGGACCTTCTGGGAAATGGGATAAAGACTCTAACCCCTTTTTCCATTACCCAGAACTCCAGACACTTGTCTAAGAGGCCAGGTCCAGTGGTGAAGGAAGGACAACACAACGAGCACACTATCGACCCCCATTCAGGTCCAGCTTCCTGGGACAAGCTTACACCCGGCAGAAGGGATCTAAGAGCTAAAAAGCGCCCGGGAAAATACAGTTTGAAGCTCCTTTATTGGGCATAGCAGTGGGATAAAGGAACAGCAGTCATTCCTCTCTGAAGCACTGTGCCAGCCACTATGGCAGCCCCTGCAATCTGGAGACCTGAACGAGTCCTGGGGACACCTGGACACGTTGGAGGGAGCTAGTGTCTTCTGACAGCCCACTGGCTGTCACCGAGCCTGGTGCTCAACACTGATAAGAGTCCTGAGGTGTGCAGGAGAGCCCTGTCCGCCTGAGTCTGCGTGTGTGCGTGTGCGTGTGTGTGTGCACGTGCACGGTCAATGAAGGCTGAGTGGACTTCGTGGCCTTTCTGGTGACGTAGAAGAACCTCCAGTCTGGGGGTCTGGGGACCCGCGGCAGTCCAAGCTCAGCTGAGTTCACTAGGTGACTATGGGAAACTCATTTCCCCCTTGGATCTCACTTTCTTCAGGTTGAACCTATTCTTAAGACTCCTTCCAGCCACAGTGGCCTATAGATAGCATTTGTTACTCCATTTTTGCTCCCCCTCACTTTCGAAAGGCCTTTTCCCCGCTTGGAATCTACTCTCTGTCAGGGGCTGTCTGGGTCAGCCTTGCACGCATGTGACAGGGGTAGAATCAACAGGTGTGAGATTCCTTAGCCAAGGCATCCATAGAGAGCACAGGCGTCCTGTGTATACCATTTATTGTTGATTCTGTACACCACGGTTGTTACGGGCAGCGTCCAGCGAAGTTGGACCCCCAACCCTGCCCACCAGGGCTCACACTCTATAAAACCCTGGGGGCCTAGAAATCTCTAAACGCATCACCAAGCACCTGGGATTATTTGCAGTGATTCTCTAAGCGAGGCGAATATGATCTACTGTTGAATGCAGCATGAAGGCAACAGGTTGGTGAGAAGGAGCTCTCCGTAGGTGAAGGAGAGATCCAGGCTGGGAGGAGTCCGGCCCGGAGAAGCACCCGCCCGGCTCCCCTCTCCGAACCCCAGTGATGGCTTCTTCCTCGAGCCCTCCACCACCTCCCCAGCACCCTGGATTCGGTTCTGACCGTAGGATCTGTGGGCTGAGCTCGGAGTGGTTTGTAGCTAAAGGCTGGGATACAGCCAACGTCTGGTTACCGGCTCTAGTTACCTAGTTATCTCTAGCTGTCTGCTCTCCGGAAGCTTCCTGAGTTTGGAAACAGATTCCTGAAACTGCTCTGCACTGACATCTGAAGGGTTGTGAACTTGTGTTGTTGCCCATGAAGAGTCCTGAGAGCTGAGCTGCGCCCTTAACTCCTAAAGAGGAAGAGAGCACACACACAGCCCCAACAGTTTCCGTGAGAGGGGCCTTTTTTCTGTAAGGGACGGGTGAACTTCATGTTTTCCTGTATTGACCAGGCTTCTGGTCCACACACTACCACGTGAGGTTCCCATGCCTGGGACTATAAGAAGCAACAGGAAAGTGACTCCCATTCTCTCGACTGATGAAAGCGCAGGACAGGCCACAAGGTCTCGTACAAAGTTTGAAGACAGAAAGGAAACCCACAGCCCACTGAATAACGTTGCGGAAGAAAGTGATTTTAGACCCATTTCAAAGGGATAACGGTAGTACCTATGCACAAGGGTGTTGTGAAGTTTAAAAAGAAAATGCTCGTTAAGTGCTTTAAAGGGTATCTACGCACTTAAGTAAGCATCGTCGCTAAACAGTGGTTCTAACTGGCTTTTATTATCTTTCCTGCAACATTAACATTAATGGAAGCTGCTAGTACCGGCAAGGTGAAAAATTAAAGTGAACTCTGTGCCCTACCTCAACCTTGGGGGACAAAGCAGCTCGCTCCAGCGCTGAGAAGTGAGCAAATGCAATGTCTTGTGGGAAAGGAAACTCCACCCAGCTTTTCTGGTAGCTTCCTGACCAGACAACATGGTGCAGAGAGGCCAAGACGCCTGCCGAAGAATTGGAGGCCCAGTGGCTCCATCCAAGCCACTCTGATGAAAGAAAGGGACAGGCAAGCCAGAGGGGTCAGGTAAAGGGGACACACTGGGTGAAGATGACTCCTTCCTCACCTCCCTGCCATCTCTGGCCCACTTGCACCGTACAACGAGACACCGGAGGCGGTGCCACGCCATGCTTCCTGTCTGGAGGAAAGCAGGCCGCTTCCCCTGATGGCCCCAGGATCGAATAGGGCAGCACCATCAGTGGAATGATGCCCATGCCCCAAGCTCTGGGCTCACTTCCTTTCAGGCTCTGGCAAGTGTCAGTACCTGTCCACTAGTTGCTATAAATATTTTGAAAACATTTTGGAGGCCCAGATTTACCTTGGAGAGAAGATGTCTTTTGCCTTTGACAAGCCCTGTCTCTCCCAGATTCTCTGGGACAGAGAGTATAACACTACTAAGTGTACTAGTTAGCACATCCCTTCATGGACCCTTTTTGTTGGGAACCTGGTAGCACCGTGCTGCTAAGGCCTCGCGGGATTTCCCATTCATCTTGTGCTACAGAGGAAACTAGTAAGAGCCAGTCAGGGTTTCCCAATCGTGATAGCATTGGCTGCAGCTCTTTCCTGGGCAGACACAGGCACCCGAAATTCTCCATTTCACTGTTTTTACCTCTCAACTGATAGACCAGTTGTCCAGACGAAGATGTGAGTTGCCCTGAGCAAAATTTCTTTACCAGTGTGAATGTGTGTGGAGCAGGAAGGGTGACAGGAAGGCATTTATGTGACTATTATAACCCCGGACCAAACAACTCCACTCTCATAACCAGGCCACAGGCACAAGGAGTCCCAGAGAGCCCCCTGACCCAGCGTGACCTCTCTGTATGCCCTGACGTTGCCTGCTGTATGTGATGAACGTCCGTGTCTAGCTGACTGATGGGGGATTTTACCACACTAACAGGATTACCGGGTTCCATTACACTTGGCTTTTCAATTAAAGGATCTCATCTCTGAACTATTTCACTTCCCTCAAATGGGGAGTGAAAATTAAAAACAGATATAAGGCATAGCATGCCCATAAAAGGACCAGGCAGAGGGGCCTCCGATCAGCAGCAGACAGCTTGCAGGCAGAGAAAGGTCTTCTGCAGTCGAGATGCCTCTAACCTGGCCATCCTGGGTGCCTTGGGGCATGGGGATCTAATAACATCTGCTGTCTAGGCCGGAATGTACCCACATCCTCTCCGCCACCCCTGGCAGCTGGGCCTTTGCAAGGGCTGGCTGGCAGGGACAGTGAGGGGCTGGCTCGGCTCATGGGGACCCATCTCCAAAAGCCTGTATTCTCCAGTTAAAGCCCAGGATCGAAGATACTAGTGATACTCTGTTTCTTGATGTGGATGTTGATTACATGGGTATGAACTGCTTGTGAAGATCCATCCAACTCTACATGATCACTCTCCCACGTTTCTGTACGTATGCTACACTTCAATAAAAAGTTAAAAGAGAAAAACCCTAGGGGTGAACATAAGGGCCCCCTGGTACCTGGGTGCTTTCTCCATCCAGTACCAATAAGCTGATTTTAAATGTTTTTAGGGGGCAGACACTCTACATGATCTTATTCCCCAAGGGACCAAAATTTTCAAAGCAAAGTCTGCAGTTCAGAAGTATTCTCCACGAGGCTGACTTATTGCACTGGTGCCCTTCTTCCTTTTCCAGATAACGATCCCGTGAGAGATGTTGACAGCGGCCCTCTCCACAGGAACTGAGCGACATGGTCCCTCCTTGTCTCTTTCACAGCATCCGAAAGCCAGGGTGCTTGGCCACTCTCAGGAAGCCAGTTGAGTGGGTGGAAGCCTTCTTTGAGGACAGAACTCACCCTGCCTTCAGGAGCAGAACACTGAGGGAGACCTTTCATTTCAGGGGACAGGGGACAGCCATGCCACAGGCGGTGGGGGGAAGCGAAGGAAGGGGAATCAACTTACATCATACTTGGGAGGGGAGTTGCCCCCCCCCCCCGGGGAGAACTATTCCCACAAAGTGAGCAGACATGGGAACGGAGTCTACAGAGGCCAGCAGGGCCGTGGACACAGGGAAGCTTGTTCTTGGAGGAGAGCTGGTGAGGCTGTGGAGAGGGGCCTTCTCGAGTGAATTAGACATGAATTAGAAACCCCAGGGGGGTTTTGCCATGGCCAGTTCGATCTCCCTGGTGGTTACGAAGGCCCTGAAAGAGCTGATTCTCCTGTAGTTCTCTATAGGAGAACCAGGCAGGTCAGGAAAAAGTGGGGGGGGGGGGAGCCTTTTTCTTGGGGAGCAGAGAGGAAGCAGGGGATGGCTCTGTGGACCCAGGGGTGGAGGTGGAACAATGAAATTCCCAGATCTTCCAGTGGTCCCACTGTCCCCCAGCCCCGCCTCCAGCCCGCCTCTTCAACACTCGTTGGGTGCCTTCATCTGCATCAGGACCGCATGGCTCCTCTTCCTGCAGCAGCAACAGCAGATGCAGGCAGCCAGGGAACAGGCCAGGGCAATGATGCCAATGACAATGGCGGCAATGGCCAGCCCGCTCTGGGCCTGGGTCATGCCCCACGTGCCACGGTCATCGGTGACCTCAACGGTGGTCAGGTCGGTGTAGTCCTCCACAGAGCTGGTGAACTCAGTAGTGGAGGAGATGGGGGTGGTGTCGGGGTAGCTGGGTGTGTCCGGGTACTGTGGTGTTTCCGGGTAGCTGGGCACCTCGGGGATCACTGGGACCTGGACACTGGGGACAGCGGCACTGACGCTGACGATGATGAGAGACTGGCCTCGGACACTGGGTGGGCTGAAACATACCGGGAGAGTATCTGTCCCCAACCTGGGCTTGTTGAGCAGAAGCCAACTGCGGAGTGGTAGGATGTCTGAGTCGCATCTCCAGGGGTTGTCATAGAGCCTCAGCTCACACAGGTGCCCCAGGTGATCGAAGATGCCCATGGGCAGGTTCTCCAGCTGGTTGTTCTGCAGCTGGATGGTCATGAGGCCATTGACATTGGCAAAGATATTCCCTGGGAGCTGTCTGAGGCGGTTGTTCTGCAGGGAGATGTTCTGTAGATTGACCAACATGCGGAAGACATTCCCGTCCAGCTCTTGAAGCGCATTGGTGTGGAGGGACAGCTCCCGCAGTTCCACCAGCCCATTGAAGGCGTCTGGGGAGATGTAGTTGATCTGGTTACGGCTGAGAATCAGGACCTGCAGCTGGCGGAGGTTGCTGAAGACGTTGTCAGGCAGAGAAGTGATGTGGTTGTCGTAGAGCCAAAGCTCACGCAGGTTGTGCATGGGCCCAAAGATCCCCGGAGAGAGCTCCTTCAGGGAATTCCCAAAAAGGGTGAGACGGTTGAGCTGGGGCAGCTGCATGAAGATGCCAGGGGGCAACTGGGAGATGTGGTTGTTGGACAGATAGAGCTTCTGGAGGTTACGGTTGTTGTGGAAGAGGCCAGGGGAGAGCATACCAATCTGGTTCTGCTGCAGGGCCAGCTCCTGGAGGTTTCCACACCCATCAAAAGTGCCCATGGGGATTTCTGAGAGCCTGTTCTCATACAGCCGGAGGACCTGGAGGTTGCCCAGGCGCTGGAAGACCCTGGGCGAGAGATGGGTGAGGCTATTCTTGCCGAGATTGAGCTTGGTGAGGCCCACCAGGTGGTCGAAGACACCATCAGGGATATATTCCAGGTGGTTGCCGTGCAACTGCAGCTCCTTGAGGTTGCTGAACTGGGAGAAGTGTGCCGGCTGGATCTGCACCAGCTGGTTGCTGGACAGAAGGAGCGACTCGAGGTTGTCCAGGCCCTGGAAGAGGCCAATAGGCAGCACCTGAAGCTTGTTGTTGGCAAGGCTGAGGTAACGCAGCGAGCCCAGGCTACGGAAGGCACCAGGCATGATGTGGGACAGCTCGTTCTTCTCAATCCTCAGGGCAATGAGGGCTGAGATGTTGAGGAATGGGGACTCATTGAGTTCAGTGATGTGCGTGTTGAGGATCTGCAGGCTCATGGCGTTCCAGGGCAGGGGAGTGGGCACTGCCACGATGCGTGCCCCAGTGCACTCCACCTGGGAGGCCCTGGAGCAGGTACACTCAGTTGGGCAGCCATAGTAGGCCAGCCCTGCACTCCAGGCTTGGCAGCCCACCAGCAAAAGAAGGTAATGTTTCAGCGACATGGCCTCTGCAAGGGGAGAGAGCACACGTGAGTCAGGGTCATCTCACCAACACTGCTGTTATTTTTAAGCCCATGTCAACCTTTGGTGCCAAACACCAGCTTGCCTTTGAACCCCACAACCACATGCCCTGCCATATGCTACTTACGGTCCGGTCAGCAAGCCCCTTCACCTTTCCCACATGCCAAGCAATTCCCCCACCCGGAGGAATTTGTCCTCATCTAAATCTTCCCCATACTTCCAAGTCTAGCTCAAATGCAGTCGCCTCTAGGAAGCTTTCCCCAGATTCTGTGAGTCAGCATTAGTTACCCTCCCATGCAGGTGGTCTTCCCAGTGTCCATTATGGCCATGCCACAGCTGGCCTCGTTCGGAATTCGTTGCGTCCCCGTCTCTGTCCCTCTCTAGTCAATAAGTTTTTCAAGGGCAGGGATGTTCATCATTCATCCCCAGAGATTCCTTCAGGCAGGAACAGTATCTTGTCTGGGTTGTACCCTGGATCCAGCCCCCTGGATCAGACGCATCCTTGTATCCCTCACAGCGCAACTAACTTGCTGGTTGAACATGACCTCCTGGGGAGGAGCAGATAGGAAATGAGACCTGGCAGAAGATGCTAAGACCACAAACATGGACCTCTTCTGGGAAAGCAGGAGCAGGCAACAAAGGTGGGATGCGCTGCTGATCTGGCAGAAAGGACGAGAGGGCAAGTTCAGCTTTTCCTCTGCCTGGCACTTCCCGGCACTACCCTGCCCCATCACCACCACTCACAACCTGGCCCTTCGGTACCCCTTCCCGGCTTTAATTCAAACCCTTCCCAGTGAAAGGAAATTATCTATGCCACTTTCTGTCTCTCTGGAAGGAGCCAATGCCTGGGGTCTACCTTCTGGGTAGTTCCAGTTTCCACAAAGAAACATTGAGTGGCCTTGAGTAAGTCCCAGAAAACTTGGGACGCACTTTGAGCTGAAAGGTGGTAGGGCCATATGCTCCCATAGAGCATGGTGCTGATCTGGGAACGGAGCCCAAACCCATGAAAGGTTCGATATTTGAGGTCAGAGGTGATTTAAGATCAGAGGTCAGAAGTGATACATAAACAGATATGTGTACATATATATATATATATATATATATATATAATTAGATATATAACGTATACAATATGGTGGAGCCATGAGCTGTGGGCACTGAGCCCTACGTAGAGTTAAGAACCACTAACTAGCTGTTTGACCTGAAAGGAAACTTGAAACCTTCAAGCTCAGCTTTCTCGTGTGTTAAATTGGGAGGATAGCCTCTGCCCCTTCTTGAGGCCGCTGGGAGGAGCAAACAGAAGAATGGATGTGGGGGTGTCCTGCACAGTGTTGTGCAAATGCGTGCGGTTGTTCAAGGTCATCCACGATTTGGACTCTATAGACTCATGGAGGCAGGAAGGCCTCAAAGTGTTTTTAATCTTGGAAATCTTACTCAAGGGGGTTAGAGATTTCTGAGTATGTGTAAAGCAGTATCTGTAACTTCCAACTGAGGTTCAAAGGGGTCTCTAACTTCCAAAGGCGAAGAACGGCTGATCATACATCCCCACTATTTTCTGGGGATGAAGGAAGCAGGGAAACTGAGGCTCAGAGCTCAAATCCGGGACCTCCAGATTCTTGGGTGAGTGCTCTGAGTGTTATTGCAATGCAATACAGGTCAGAGCAAGGACTCTGAAATGATGGCATGTGAGGCATAAACTGGCTGGGTGGGGAAGGTATTTCTCTAGCCTCTCTTCCTGAACTCATGGAGTCCAAAGTCTGGCCCATAACTCAGAATAATCCAGGCTTCCCAACCTGGCCTTAACTCAGTGCACCCTTTTCCTGCCCTCTCAACAAGCCGACTCTGAGGACAGAACCCAAGTTTATCTCTCCCCACCCAGACCTTGATTTTTCATTTATTCACAGCCCATCCAAGCCCCCGACCTGGTGTATTTTTGCATTAAGGACTTGAGTAACTATGTAACGTGTTGGCGAAAAGAAAGAAAGAAAAACTTGGCCACCAGAGTCTAGATGCAGAGGAATGGGGTCCGATGAAGCTATAGACACATCCAGAAGCACAAGTTTGTATAGACAAAAGAAGGTCCAGAACTTAAGGGTAGAAAATGAACAGCCTAAACAGGGGGCACAGAAAAAGTGACTCAACATCCACCCCAGGGGAAAGACTTAAGACTTTTTATTGATAGTAGCAGAGAAAGAAGACTGGCCAGAAAAACTAATGTTGATCTTAGCCTGCATTAACAGAAGTATTAAGTGTGGAACAAAGAAAGTGATGGTCTTCTTCTACATGGCCCTCATCAGGCCACACCTGTGCTTCTGTGCCCCAGCTTCAAGAAGGCCAATAACAAACTGGTCCCTTGAAGGCCCTGTAGAGAGGGGTAAGAGGACGGTGAGGGGACCTAGAAATGAGAACCTCCGAGCACCCGTTGAAGGAACTGTGGATAGATACCTGGAAGAAGATAGGAGGAGGCTATAAGCACTTGCCAAGAATACGTGAAGGACTGCCCTGGGACACAGAAGGCAGCCTTACTGTGGCTCCAGAGGTCAAAAGTGGTGTGCAGAAATTTTAGGGGAGCACATTTCAGCTCACCACTGTCTGAATGAGAATGGACAACCCATGGCGTTAGTAAGCTCCCCATCACTGGAAGTGTTCAAGCAGAGGCAGACTAACTCTCTGGAAAGGATGCTGGAGGGGAGATTCCTACAGCTGGGAGGGTATTGAACTGGATGACAGCTGATGTCCTGTCTATCCCCCAAGATTTGGGGATTCTAAGGCCGAGTCCAGAGCAAGGATGTGAGATCCATATACCCAGCTAATTGTGCCTGTGCTCCCAAGGGTCTGTATGGACAGGTGTGGGTGTTTGCCCATCTCCTTGGTACATGTGTGTGTGAAAGACTTACCCCTTGGACTGGCTTAACAAAATGGGGCGCCTGGGTGTCTCAGTTGGTTAAACGTCCAACTTCAGCTCAGGTCAGGTACTCACAGTCTGTGGGTTTGAGCCCCACGTCGGGCTCTGTGCCAACAGCTCAGGGCCTGGAGCCTGCTACGGATTCTGTGTCTCCCTCTCTTTCTGCCCCTCCCCCCCTCATGCTCTGCCTCTGTCTCTCTCTCAAAAATAAATAAACATTAAAAATTAAAAAAAAAAAAAAAAAAGGAGAAGCTCTAAATGCTCCTGGTAATGCGATGTGCTTCATTTATTTTTAATGTCTACTTCTATGCTCACCACGCTTCAAAATGGTGCCGTGGTCCCTATGTCGGGGACTAACTTAAGTGCCCACAACCTGGCAAGTCCAAGGCAGTCCCTGTCAGATTTCCCCTTCTGTAAGTGAGGGCGCGGGATGAGATGCCCTCTGAGGAAGCCATCTCAGACCTTCCCTGAGTCTGCATTCCCCAGCTGGGGCGGGGGGAGGTGGGGAGGGCGTCATGCCAGTCTCAGGGAGGGCCCAGGGCCAGGGGAGGGTGCCTCACGGCTTGAGAAGAAGAGAGAAAAGATAATTCCCTTATGGGAACAGAGCCACTGTTGTTCAAAATGGACCACACTCAGCTTGACAAACATTGCAAGAATTTGCAGATTTTCCTTCTTATAAATCCTTATGTCTGCGGGGTCCGCCCCAGCGCCACACGCAGCAGCTTCCTGTTTTCCAGCACTTGTTCCCGCCACAAGGCACCGACTGCTCCAGAGGACCTCCAGAGGGCCCACCTCCAACCCAGCTACAGAGCCCTCAGGGGACGGAGGGGCCACAGGCGCGGGGCTGGCCAGCCAGCGAGTGCTGCGGGCGTGCTCAGGAGCCCGGCACACAGCAGCCTAATAGCACACGCTGCCCGGTGCTGCTTGGCAGCCGTGACAAATGCCAGTTAAAGACCCACAAAGCTACCCTAATTATACCCTCCTCCTCCAGGCGGCCAAAGGCGTCCTCAGTCACTGCAGCGACTCAGCCCAGCCCCTGTCCTAGGAGGAGGGACAGCCCAGGGTCTGTCGCCGGCCCAGGAATTCAGTAAGCCAAGCAGACGGACAGGCAGCTCACCCGGACACCCCGACGCGGTCCCTCCCCAGGAGTAGAAGCACTTGGCCCAGGCACTTTGTGAGTCTCTTCAGCAAGAACTGCCTGTGACTCATGAGTGAACACATAATTAGCGTTGAAGCCCTGGGCTTTGTTGGTTGGTGGGTTGGCACTTTTTTGGTTTACTACCATCATTCACATCCCCTAAACATGAGGTTCCCTGGGAGGAGATGCCTTCTTATTGCAATGCCACGGAGCAAACTTCTGGAAAAAGCCTGGGAGACAGATGTGCGACGCTGGTCTTGATGTTAAACTGGAGTGAGAGTTTGGGTACATTCTCCAGGCCTCCTGTAAAGACTTCCAAGGGCCCTTGATAGCTCTGATGTCTTCTGACTGGAGACAGAAAGGAAATCTGGCCTGAAGCCCCACCATTCACCTACCCTCCCTTCCATAGACCATGCAGGTTACCCTGAACGGCCGGCAACGCTACCTGGCCTAACCCCTTCATGCCAAGACTGAGGAACTCATACCCATCTTTTCAGGTCTACCTTGTTACAGAAGTTTCCCAGGCAGGGCAACCCCGCTTCTTAATCAGTGCATCTTCAAATAGCCAAGAGCCATTTCATGGGATTGGGGAGCCTCTGGTCCTGACCCCCTCCAGTGCACCCGGGGAAACTGAGGACCCAAGAGAAGATCTCCTTCCCTGGCCTGTGCCCTCTCCCCACAGAGGTCTTCCCCTAAGCATGGCCTCACCTGCAGTGACATGTTGCCCCATCCAGCCGAGGGAGATGTCAGGCTTGGAGCTGTTGAGGGGTTGTCTTCCCCCACCCCCAGCAACTCTGCCACCCCCTCCAGCCAGTATCAGCCTCTATCAAGTTGCTCGTCAGTGCTTGGTCAACGGGCTTAAAGCCACTGATTGAGAGGCTCAGTGCATCCAGACGTCCCCATTGCACTAAACGGGGGGTAACCACCCTACACCCCAAATCAGTAGAT